CTTTAAAGTAAATTTTTAAGGTTAATTTAACAAAATATTTACTTAAATTAATTAATATTGCCTCAAAGCTCTACGCTTTTACTTATAAGTAAAATGCTGCTTGGGAAACCTATTGTACCAAATTTCTTAATAATTTGATGATTTCAGAATGGTGTGTTATTTAATTGTGTGTATGTTATTTTTGTGTTTATTTATTTAGGTAAAGTTAATTTTTTTATATGGACAGCGGCAACGTTGCAAATTTATGGTTTTGGTTGGTAAATACAGTTGTCAAGTTGGTCGCATTGACTAAAACAAACTAAGCTAGTTATAAATCTAATTGTGGTTATGTATAAATTATTGTAGGTTACATTGTGCAGTTGTCAAGTTGAGTTGTCGAAATTCGTAGTTGAAAATGCAATTTATTTGGCTTAGGTGGTGCTTGGATGAGTAAAATCATATAAAAAAGTAGTTAAATATAGGTTGCTTTACGGCCCAGAAGACGAAGTATTCCTAGCGGATAATAATCTTCGCTTTGAAAAGAATTTATATAAAAGAAATTAAAATTTTTTGTGAACGTAAATGTTTTCCAATGGTGAATAATGTAAAAATAATGTGTGATGTAATATTTATAAAACCAAAATTGTCCATAAGGCGATGTACTTTTTCTTCCATTGTGGCATTTGGCATAATTTCATCAAAATTAAGTTTTGCCCTCAAAAGGGCTTTTACATAAGAATTTATTACTATTATCTTTTTATTTATAATTGGCAAGTAAATTATCAATAATAAATATTATTATATATATATATATATTATTTTAAAAGTTACAAGAATTATGGTTAAATTATTTATGTAGGATTTTGTTATTACAAATTAATTACCTATTTAATTAGTTAACGGATTACAGTTGGTTGTAAACTTAACATAAAGTTATGCAGAACTAAATTAAGATAAAAGCTGGTAGTAAAAAAAATTAAAAATACTTAAAAATAAACTGCATTTTTCTTGTGGATGATTAATTGAATATAGGTAGGTAGGTACTCCCTAATAATATACTGTTTATTTTAATAATAACTATATGAGAAAAGTAGCTTTAATTTGACCGTTTGCTGTCCATTCTAATAACCAAACGAGCTCTTTCACCTGTCAATCAGCAGGAATAACTACGTCCCTAAATCCGAAAATAATTGGTTAAATTACGTAACCCCGTCCTGGAGTTCCCCTAATAATAATTTTCCGGGGCCAAAACAATCAATAAAAGTGCCCATTTACATCCAGTTACTCAATGCAATGGGGTTTTAAATATGCGTGAGTATATAAATATATATACGAGGTGTGTTCAGAAAATATCGGGAATTTTCGTTTTTTAAAACAAATATTTATTTATTCGTCTTCATTAATGTTGTCGCCTTCAAAATAGTCCCCATTGGATATTATGCACATGTGTCAGCTCTTCTTCCAATACTCCAAACACTTCTAAAACTCGATCTTTGGGATAGCCTTTAGTTCTTTCAGCGATGCGCTTTTAATGTCATATATGCTTGCAAAACGACGGCCCTTTGGTTCTCTTTATCTTTGGGAATAGGAAAATGTCAGACAGAGGCATGTCTGGCGAATATGGAGGCTGGGGCATCATTACAGTATTGTTTTTGGCACAAATTTTGTTCAAAATTTAACAATTTTAGAACAAATTTTGCTGCCACGCGTTTCATACCCAAAACATTCTAAAAAATTTCATGGGATGAGCCAATCGATATACCAACATCATCAGCGACTTTTCTGATGGTTTATAACCATTTCTTTTACTTTTTCCATGTTTTTATCGATTGTTTATGTGCTTGTGCGTTCGGGGCGTTCGTCATCTTCAACGTCTTCACGGCCATCTTGGAAACTCTTATACCACTTGTAAACTCTTGTTTTACTTATAGCAGACTCACTATATATAGGCCTTTGTTAACATGTCACAGAATTTATTTTACTTTTTAAGCAAAATTGGATACAAATTCTTTGATCCATTTCTTTTAACGAACGAAAAATCGCCGAGCTCATAAAACACGTCTAACCTTAGCGGCTGCCACAGACAAAGTAAACAATGAAAACAGCTAAAGTTTTTATCATACTTCGGAGGCATGTATACCAACATAATAAAGAAAATTTTATGACAACCGGACCCTCCGGACCCGCGAAATTTAACAATTCCCGTTATTTTCTGAACACACCTTGTATGCACCTATAAACAAAATAAAAAATGTAATTTTAATTATGATATGTTTAAAACTAGAACGGGATAGCCAATCTAAAAAAAATGGTTTCCTAAATTTACCAATGTATCTTTAAAATCTTTTGACTAATTTTTATCTAAACGCTTTGAAAACATTATACCTTAAGAATAAAAATAGAGGTAATCTATTTTTTTAGATGTTTGTAATAAATTGCCTTGGTAAAATTACCACCTGGAATATAAAAACTTTTCAAAAATTGAAGTTTTTCGTCGCCAAACCATAGTTTTACTAATAATGATTGTCCGGGCCAAAACAACAATAGAAGTTCCCATTTTATCCAGCAACTCGCTGCAATAGGATTTTAAATATGCTTACGTGGTGTGTATAGAAGAATTGCCAATAAGCACAGTCGATGACAATATACTATAGGTACTTGAGAGAGCTCCAAAAAATCAATAAATTATTATAGCAAGATTTTTGATCTTTGATTTCAAACCAAAATGGATAAGGATACAAAAACTTCTTACAACAGTAGTTGTTTTTACAGCAAACTACAAGCTTCACCAAAACAAAAACGTTTTACTATTATCTAGAAAAACAAAAACATCCACCACAATGATCTGTAATGAGACTGAATGAGGCGTCATGACTTTTGGAAACGTTATTTGTTCAAGCAACGCTGTCTTCTAGCTATCTGTCATGTCCAGTTAGGTCTGCGACTTGGACAAATAAAGCCCCCCTGAATTTTCGACGTTCTTTTCTAATACCTTCCTTTTAGTTGCGCTTGTGTAAACAAGGCACAAGTCTTGAGTAAACATCGAGGAAATTAATTTTGTTACCGGTTGATATTGGTGAATGGTCAAATGGAGCTCTAAAGAGCTCGGAACTAATTTTAAGAAGAAAGCAAATTGAAAATATAATTAATTGTCTCAAGAATGACAATTTTACTGAACCTGTAAAAAGTTAAACAATATTTTTAAAACAAATTGCCTTTATCGCTTTGATCTAAATCTTAAGCAAATTACCCTTCCGGTCAACTCAACACAACTCTGGTTTTTACTTTAAAGTAACTAAGGACCAAGAAGAGAAAAAATCCTTTAATACCTCAATGAACAAAATAAGATTAAGGCATTATATTAAGTGGGAATAATTCGCCACAAAAACATTCTTTTGTGCCTCTGTCAATGGGCCTTCTTTTTGTTATTATAGGATTATTTAAGTCTTTAGAAATGGGTTTTTCATTCAACTTTCAAAGCGTATCTATCTATAGGTTGGTATACCTGAATTAAAATAGCTGATAGTGGTGTTTTACTTAAATAAGTATTATTTTATTAGAGATATAACATATATGTTTTTACAACTACGTCTGTATTTTTTGTTTCGTAAAACACTTAATAAAAAAGTTAATTTAAAATGCATTGTGCATAAGATAGAATTTACCTTGCGAATGACATAAACCATAAATTAAATAAAATGTCATAAAAAGACATAAAGCATAGCCGACTACATAGAAAAATAACATTGAGGAATTGCTTTCAATAGTGTGGTAATCATTAACAACCTTTTAGTTTTAAATAATTTTTTAATATTTTTTTTCTACGACCACTATGTAAAAGTCACATTTCGTAATGGCATCGTTGCTTAGAAAATGAATCTTTTCATTGGCAAGGCAAAACACGAATTTCTGTGTGAAAAGTGACAGGTCGGTGTGAAAAGAAATTGACAGCATCGTTTGACATTCGTTTCAAAATTTGTATTGTTTTTGTATACCTATGTATGTCTAAATATCATTTAGAACACAATTAATTGTGTTTCTATAATAAATTCTAATTTTTAGTGCCTTTAATTAAATTGAGAAGGTAAGTTTATTGATTTATACCTTAAAAATTAAAAGAATAAAATGTCTGTCAAACACGTTTTTAGGTTATTTTTTTTTGTATTTGAATATAATAAAAAATAAAAGGCTCGTAGAAAAAACATTGTGTTTTACTGGTGAGAAAAGATTTCTTCAAGCTCGTGTTAATGCACACTCGGCCTGACGGCCTCGTGAGCAACATAAACACTCACATGAAAAAGTCGATTTTCAACACTTGTAAAAAAAATAACTATTTAACAGTTTTAATATAACTGAAAAATAATAAACTTAATATTATTGACTTGAATGGATCATTAAAATTTTAATTTTTAACAATCAATAGTATGCTTGCTATAGTAGGTATATGTCAGGGTTCGAAAAATCAAAAATCGATGATTTTTATTAAAAAAATCAAAAAATGATTTTTTTGATTTGTTTTGATCTGTTAAAAAATACTAAAAATAACTTGACTATAATAATATTATATTGGAACTACTTTTTATACAAATAAACCACCGTCCGCAACTGTCATATATTTTTTTGTATATTCCTTTATTATTTAATTTAATAAAATAAGCAGTTTTTCTATGCACATGAATTTATTTAAATAGTGTCATGATATTATTGTGCTATAGTTTTAGATCTTTTAAGTGTTTTTTTAGATTTTAGAAAGTTTTTTTAAAACTGATTTAAATCATTGATTAAAACAATCCCTAGATTTAAATTGTGATTTAAATGTAGTAAACTATACTATAGTATAATGCTTACAAGCAATATTTAATTTTTGGAATTTGACTTATTTAAAAAAATCTATATCTATATAGATATAGATCTTTATATAGTTCTTACTTTATATTTTTTAATTAAAAACCCAATTAAAACAAAATAAAAAAAAAAATTTCAATAAAAAAAATACAATTTCTAATGGTATTTTCTCTTACCTGGTTGTGTTGATTTTGTTCGGCCATCGCTTTCTCCTTAGCTTGCCGTTTGCACTTGTACCTGTGGTTTTGGAACCAAATTTTCACCTGTAACAACATAAAAACCGTTATCGGACTAAAAAAACACGAATAGTTCGAAAAACGTCAATCATAGATAGTCCCAAAATCACATAAACCGAAAGTAAACAGAAATGCAGACAGGAATTTTGAAAATACGATTTACCTTTGTAGAAAATATCGTTGTTTTTGTATAACATATATTTTTTTAAATCGTTTACCATGTAAATCATAAACTGTATAAAATGTTTTGTTTTAAATAATTATAATTAAACCATTTGTTGAAAATTTTAAAATTAGCGAATTTTCCAATTTTGATATTTGTAAAGGCGTAAACATTCTGACCCTGTATATAGCACCAATCAATAATTTAATTCACACCTATTATCGCTTGTTGCTAGATCTGGGATAATAATGTTTTAGTGCGTCCATAAAGATACCTAATTAAGCTCAAATAATAGCTTTATGGCGTTTTACTCACCTGTTTTTAGTCTATTGTTTTATAGATGCGCTCTATACAAATTTTTAATATAAATCATTTTTAGATAATAATAAGTATTTGTCGTAGAAAAAATATAGTATGCAACCAGTTTATAAACTTATTAGACACTCATTTAATTAAACACTCGCTCGCCTAATTTAAATTTGTGACTAAAAAGGCGTTTATCAAACATAATATACTATTATTTACCCCCAGAATGGTATTCTAGCAAAATAATGCCAACTACAAAACTTAAAAAGTGTTTCTAGTTTGTAGTTTCTTGTAGAAAATTAAAAAACGTTGTAGAAAATTAAAAAACTGCCATTATGAACTTTTATTTCAAATCAAAAGCATTCACCAACCACCGTTCACCAACACAACAAACAGCTGGTTAATTTTTTTTCAAACTGTCACAATAGCACTCGAAAATCTGTTCGATCAAAAAAGCACTACACGTCAGAGCACGGGTGGAGGCACTTCATAAACCGTGCGGTTCCCCTTTTCAACTATTTCTTTCGTATGAAAAAATCGCCCGCCTTTTTAATATATAATAAGTTCATAATGCAAATAGCGCTTAATGCGTGTGGGTCAAGTGAGCTGGAAAGCTTTTGTCTGGGTTAAATGGTCCAAGGTTTTTGGTTAAAATGTTTTATAAAAACTACTAAAATAGAAATATGTGTTTTGGTGGATCATAATTAAGAAAATGGCATCTACATTTTGAATAAAATTGTTTAATAAATATAACAAAAAAAAAAGTTTTGTTACTTCAAAAATATCATTTTATAAAAATTATTTATCTACAAGCGCTGCTTTCAGTAATAGCATTTAAATTAATTATAAAGTAAATTTACGTTGTGTTTATAAAAATAACACTCTTTCAGATGCAGAAACGCATTGATAAATATAGTTATAATTATTTGTCCAAAAACAGTTCTATACCGTTTACAAAAACGTTTTTTATTAATGAAGCCCTAATGGTATTTTTCATAAAAATTTTGTAAATTTTACAAATTCCTTTTCGTTTAAAATAAAATTTTTATTATAATATTAATAAAATTTATGTAAATTTAATAACAAAATAATTGTTAATTCAATAAACTATTTTCATTGTAACAATTGTCACATTATCAACCTAATGTTTTTTATTGGGTAGTAATTGCAAGGCATTAAAACAAATTAGTTATTTATTACAACAACAAAAATTAACTCCGATTATATGATGATCAAAATTAAAAAAAAAAATAAACAACAAGTCTGCTTCGTTTATAGAATAGACCTTAGATGTTTCTTTTAGAAAACGTCGAAATTTTAATTTTCTTAGTGATCTTTTTGATATTTTTATCATGCTAAATTTTACCACACTTTACTCGCAATAGGATTATAACTATAAATTTATGTTCATGAAGGGTGCACCCTTTTTAAGGTAAATAACAAAAATGTTTTTAACATTGCAAAAAAATAGTAAATATTAAATATTTTTGTTATGGCAATACAATATTTTTGTTATTGTTCTTAAGGTAAGCTATTAACAAAGATTTTCTAACTGAAATAAAATTAATTTGAATTACAACGATAGTAATTTAAAAAACACAAATATGCCATAGTAAAAAGAATAACTGCGCATTACTTTATGTAAGCGCAATTCACACATAGCTATAGATTTAACAAAAACATTTTAAGATCGACAAGTATTTCTTATTGCCATGACAATATGATAACAACTATTACTTTGTTGGATGCGCTTTTATTTATAAAAGCTTAACATTGCTGCTTCATTATAGTAAATAAGAATTTTATTAACAGTTAAAAAAGTTTATTTTGTAAATAAAAATAATCTCATTACTTTGACAAATCGTAGGGTTTTGTCCCAATAAGACAGAGAAAATGTAATAAAAAGGTACCTTGGGTTGTAAATTTTTTATAACCATTACAATTTTAAATTTAAGTTTAATAATATTATTTTATTAATCGCTTACAAAATTAGTTTCATTATCAGTGCATGTACATTTTTCTGAGTGTATAACTGCACTGTTAAAAAAACAGATTTGTTAACTTAAGTTTGTAGTTTGTTAATTTTATTTTGTAAAATTTTAAAATAATTTGTTGTATAAAACAAGGGTTTGTAATTATTTTAACAAAGGAAAGCATTTTACCGAAAGTTTTGTAAAGGTAATATGCAATTTTGTTTGCATTTTGTTAATTTGAAAGGTTCGAGTTTATTTTGTTAATGTTTACCAAATTATTTTGTTGAAAAAGTATACGTGATTTTAGGCAGCCAATTACAACATTTCATTTAAAATCTCACGTTAACTTTTAGTTAAAATATGTATTATAATTCAAATTTGTAAAAAATTAAATAAATAATAATAATAAATCATTTTTTTACATGTTGTCCGCAAAGAAAGTTTAAAGGCTTTAATGGTGAATTGGGTTAAAGTTACGAAATAATAATCAAATGATTGAATTATTGACTGCATTTTGTTATTAAATCTACAAAATGCCTGTTATAATTACAAACTACTTATTCAATTGGTTAATAGATGTGTGGGAAATTAAAAAAAAATATCTGATAATTTTCTTACAAAGACTGCAATTTCCATAAAAATGTAGAAACCAGGCAGTGCATATTTTATATCGAAGAAGCATAAAGAAGTAAGTGCAAATGCTTCACCGTGTTTGGCCATTAATTACTCTTCTTTGACTCGCATGAAGATGACCACTCCAAGATTTTACTGACGGACATGTGTGGTTGACACAGCGCATCGTAACGCCCCAATTGATTACTTATGCTGTTTACGACAAAAGGAAAATTCCCGTCGTTTTCTACGGTAAAGTGCAGAAATTCGAAACGTCGAGAGATTGTCAAGCACTCTTTCGTTACTTAGAAAGCTGTTTTCATCAAAATATTTGCCCATTAAGAATTCACAGAGATTGTCATTAAACACTATGGAGGCAAGATCAATTTTCCCAAGAGGTTTTTTTAGTTTGTATTTTATATACAGTGTAGACTATTTTTTTTTTGTAAAGTATATCGAAAATATTGTTTGGGGTGACAAAAAAAATATGGTGAAAGTTTGAGTCCATAATATTAATATTAAGACGTCTATCATCGCAATTTTAGATTTTTTTTTCCTGAGCGAGTTTTTGTCTCAGAACTCCCAAATCATTGAGTTTAACAAAATTGACTTAAGAATATTTTTTGAAGAAAATTGAATGCTCTACAAAAAAGGTTAAATTGGAATTTCTCGTCAGATGAACCGTTTTCTTACAATCATGCCTTAAAAATTGGTGTAGTTTTACAATTTGATCTTTTAACTTTGGAATTTTGTAATTCATGTAAAAATCACTACTCTGAAAAAAACCGATAAATATTCTTATGGGAAATCAAATGCTCTACAAAAAAGTCTTTTATCATTTTTGGCTAAATTCACTCCATCAAAAGTTATTCAAGGTTAAATTTGAAGTCAAAACGAAATTTTAACCTTGAATAACTTTTGATTGAGTGAATTTAGCCAAAAATGTTGAGAAGATTTTTTTGTAAAGCCTTTGATTTCCCATAAAAATATTTATCGGTTTTTTATGGGTACTGATTTTTACATGAATTACAAAATTCCAATTTAAAAGATCAAAATGTAAAATATATACCAATTTTTAAGGCATGATTTTAAGGAAACGGTTCATCTGACGGAAAATTTCACTTTAACCTTTTTTGTAGAGCATTTAATTTTCTTAAAAAAATATTTATTATCAAGTAAATTTTGTTAAACTCAATGGTTTGGGAGTTCTGGAACAAAAACTTGATGAGGGAAAAAAAATTAAAATTGCGATGATAGACCTCTTAATATTAATATTATGGACTCAAATTTTTTTTTGTCACTCCAAACCATATTTTTGATATACTTTCAAAAAAAAAATAGTTGATTTTTTTTATCCCAGTCTAATACAGTGTCAAAAAAGGAAAGCACTTTTGTGTTATAATTTCTCAAAAATTTGTGATGACGGGATGGAGGTCAAATTTGAATTTGGAAAGGTTTAGTTTGATGTTTAAATTTTGTATTTTCGCCACTAAAAATGATATACAGTGACAGTAATTAAATTACTATTTCAAAGAAGAGTTGTCGGGAGACTCTCCTTCAGTATATTTCCCGGTTGGTGGTTGTTAGTTCTGTGGTGTAGGGCTTTATGTAAACAGTCGTCTACACAGGGGGGCTGTGCTGGTTATTGTGCGGTAATTTAGGGGAGGAAACGCTGTTATGTTTGCAAATTGTTGTGGAATATTCGAATATAATCATCATGGGGCGGGATGCGACAGGCAATTAATAAAATAAAGTCATACTGAGTATTTTGGATAATTTATTTAATTTGGAGTGAAAATTTCTGTATGAACTGATTTTTAAACCCTTTGTTAGCATGAATACCTAATAATTTAGAAGATGCACCCTGCAGGTCTACAATAAGATGGAAATAAAAGTTGTAGGAAAATTTATTTATTTTGCTTAGAAATAAGTATTAGTACAACCAAAATGCCTAACCAGAATTAAAAATGAAC